CTCCAGATTTTATTTAGTGTTCCTTGTGAGACAGCAGAGGGAGCAGACGTCTGCAGGAGGTGGGTCAGGATCTCTGATTCCTCTGCTGATCATCTCCAGTTTCTGCTCTAAATGCTGATAAAACTGCAACATTTGGATCAGTTTCATCCATCATGTTTAAAGACTCACAGGTGAATGGCAGAATGTGAAATTTTGTCAAAAAGTTCTCTTTAAAAGAAATTAAAAGCCTTTACAAAAATGTATTCTTATATGAATTTTTGCCTAATATGAAATAAAAAAGGAAATTCAACTCAGTGGAATATTGCTGTTAATTCCCCATTCTGGTCGCTTTTTTTGTTTAATTATATTTCATTTTAAAAATGAATATGTATGAAAAACTTTTTTTCCTCAAAGAAATTTGAATTAAATTCCCTCGGCCCTGAATTTTCTATTCCAACTAAAATTAGAAACATCAACAATACTGAGACAAATAATTTAAGGTTTATTCAATTCAACTTTTTAACTACATTTACAGCTCAGTTCAGCAAACACAGCCTTCAACAAATTATTTCAGCTTTATTTTTTTTATAGTCACTTCAAATTAACAAAACGTAGCTTACTGAATGTGATTCATTTTCAGGAACGGACGTGACAAATTGTAACGTTTCTGTCTGATATTTGGCTCTTCCAGCAGAGAAAACCTCCCCTGAAACTTCCCTGAAAGTACAAAGTTAGAGGACGTCTCAAAAGAGAGCATCTTCTTATTTTTTATTTAGTTTGGGGGGAAAAAGGATTAAACTATCATTTCTGTTTGTTTTTTTTTTAATGCTTTTATGTTTATAATCCAAAACTTTAAATAATCTTATTCGATTTAATTTTCTGTAAACTGTAAATTAAAATAAAGACTCTGAAACTTGAGGCCCCGCCCCCTTCCGAACGTCTGCTCCAATCATGTTCACAGAAAGAAAGAAAGTTTCCATGTAAACAACCACTTCTGTACAAATAAAAACCAAACAAGTTTAGATAGCAAACAATCAAACTGAAAAGATTTCTGTACATTTCATAAAGTCATAAATTCTGATATAATTTCTCTGTTTCATCCTCGTCTTAAACCTTCTGGGGTTTTTTTTACAAAGAAAAGACACCAAATGAAAGGTTTGTCCTCTAGGTGGCGCTGCTTTCCGTCCGTTCATACATAAAATAGAATCTCCGTTAGTTTTTATTTACACACTTCAGATAATTACAGATTTTTCAGTGTTTTCAGACTGGAAGCGGCCAAAGTTCTGGATCCCGGCCCAGTTCGGGGCCGAGGCATTGATCGATGCTCGGACCGGAGGCTGTGGGCCCAGAACCGGATCAGATTCAGGACCCGATCAGCGGATCAGAACCGGGCTGGGATCCACGGAGGCGTGCGCCCAGAAAGTGGTCCTGAGAGAGCTGTCGGCTGACTGGTGACTGCATGGACGGAATCTGAATTTCAGGAGTGGGGGGTGGGGGAGACGAAAGTATTTTTTAATATAAAGATGGACGGCCAATCAGGGGGCTTGTGTTAAACGGGCTGCAGCTTGAGCTATGGTTTTCCACTTGGTCCTAGTGCTCGACCAATGTCTGTTTGACAAAGTGCAGGGGACATGGACCCCCCCGTCCCCCCAAAAAAATTACGTCCATGGGTGACTGGGTTTCTGGACCCGACTGGACCACCTTGAAAACGCTTCAATGAGACCTTTGTGACGGATCACCGAGCCCAGAACCAGTTCTTCATCTCAGCAGGAAAAAAAAAAAACCTCAACAGAGGTTCCTGAAGAGAAAAGCTTTTATTTTGAAGGTTTGAATCAGATTCCTGTTTGTTATTTATCTGAATTGGCTTTATTTTGGACACTAGTTAGTTTTATCTTCTGATTTAAGAGCCTTAAACTTGAATGTTTTTTTTTTATCTCTTATTTGGTAGAAATTTATATTTTTGTTAGGTTTAAATCAAAAATTGGGTCCATGTTAAACTAATTTTAAATATTTCTAATTACATTATTTTTATTTATTTATTTATTTTGTCAAAATCTGGGTTCGCTATTGGTTCATGGAAGGTTTTCCAGAATTCAGATCGCAGGAATCTTTCCTCAGATTGATTCTGGTTCTTGGGATCTAATTTCTTTAAATGTAGAAACATTTCAAACTGTCTCCAGGTTCTCCAACCTGTGGAAATAAAGTTCAGGCTCTGGTTTAAATAAAAGGTCCAATCAAATAATTTCTCTTCTGTTCAGAATCAGCTGGTATCGGCTCACCGTCAAATCTATTTCAGTTTTAGTCGGCTCGTTTGGAGCATCCAGACTCAACCTTCCTGCTTTAGAGATATTTTTGTAAACAAGAATCACTGAACAGGTTGAACTAGTCCTCAATGTTCCGGAAACATCCCGGTTTCAAACCAGTTCAACCGACGGAGCCGCGTCTGAACAGAAGCGGTCTCAAGCTGGATGTCATGGTACAGATGGAGGATAAAAAAGATCTCAGTGAAGGAAGAGGAGCAGAAAACGTCCAGATGTTTGGAATAAAAAAGCAAACTGATCGACCGACTAACAAACCATCATCCATCATCCATCCAACCATCATCCATCCATCCATCCATCATCCATCA